CCCCAAAACCCCAAAACCCCAAACCCCCAAAACCCCAAAACCCCAAAACCCCTTTATTGGGGTTGTTAATAGAATTAATAATTGTTTTATATTTAATACAACCTGTAGCCCAATATGAGTACGAGTTCGTTCGAGGTCTCCTTAGTGCAGGAGGAGCAGCAGGAGAAACAGCCCAAGGGGAATAATCTGTGGATTGGTGAGTGGCACATTTGGAAGGGGAGTTTAGGGGGGTTAGAGGTTGGGTGGTTTGGGTAGCTTGGGTATTTGGGTTTTTAGGTTTTTGGGGTTTTGGTGCATTTTAGGGTGGAGTTAAGTGTGTTTTTTGGATATTTTGGGGGTGAAGGGGTGGAGGAGGTTTAGGGCTTGGATAGTGAGGAGGTATGGGATTTTTAATGGTTTTGAGAGGTCTGGAATTGATTAATTGGAGTTATATAAGCATTGGAGGTAACACTTTATTCTAGGAATCGTTCTAACAGTGTTAGCATTGTGAGGAGGATCTTCAATTATCCCCTTTGTAGATGAGTATAAAGGAGTGGATGTTGTGCTGAGGAATATTTGGAGATGGCAGATACTTGTGGTCTATTGTTTGCCCTGTAGTGTTTATTTTTGGTATAATAGTAGGAAATTTATTGAGGTTGAGAAGGTGTTTACGAGAGAGACTTGGATAGAGCTCTTTGTGTCGGCTTTGTTGTGGATTTTTGGATCGATTTTGTATATATGGAGCTCGGATTTTACCTTGGTCTCACATTCAGGACTTTTGGGGAATTTGGCAGGTGTTTTTCTGGTGATGGTTAATATTGTCAGAGCAGTTCCAGTTCATCGTTTGGAGGTATATGGGACTATTCTTGTGGTGATATCAGCAATCATTTTTATGAATGATAATGCTTCAACTAAGACTAATGGACAGACAAATATCCTGCTTGGTGATATCATGTCATTATGCTCTGCACCAATATTTGGGATGTATTATGTGTATAATTCAAGACTACTTCAGAAGTTGCCTGCAATGGTAATACTTCAGATAAGCTTCACGATTCAACTTGTGATTCATATTGTTTTCTACATTTTAGTGATGAAAACAGACAAATTTTATTCATTTGATTCTTATTATGGAGTTTTAGGTTGGGCTTCGGATACTTATTTATTCCACTCTCTTGTATTTATTGGAATTTCTACAGGACTTTTCGGAGTAGGAGGCTATGTGTTTACTCTGAACTTCTTTCCTCCTCATATTGTTGGGAATATCTTTCTTCTCGAGCCTGTATTTGCACAGTCTCTCGGATGTATTCTCGGACAAGATAATATACCTGGCTTAATCACATATATTGGTACAATTGGAATTACCGTCGGACTTGGAATTTTAATCAAAGGAGATCTTCTCAACAAACAAACTTGCCAAGACACCCCCAACCCAAGCGAGGCAATCAAGCAAGCTGACTCCAAATCCGTGCACTCCTCTCTCATCATAGACCCGTAACCCCAATCCTATATAATCCTTCAAAAGCTCTTTTTACCTTCTTTGGGTTTAAATATCTTAATTTTGTTCTAAAACAAGGTTTTCACAACTTTTGGTCTATATTTCTGCTTTCGCTGGGTTTTGGGGTCTAGGCTCTTTTTGAATGGGATGGGTTTGGGTTAATTTTTGAGTGGGGGTTAAGGGGAGGTAGGTTTTGGGAGTAATTTAGGGTTTATAGGGGTTGGGATAGGGGTTATAGAGAAGGGGTTTTGTTTTAATATGAAGTTTTAGATTTTGATGTTAGAATTTTTGTATAAGTGCTTAATCAGTATTTTAACGTAGAATATTATAGAAAATTTAAAGATAGAACTAACTCTAAAGAAGGCTATTAAAATCTTAAACGACATTTTTTGATCATCCAACATAAATTTCAACATTCCCCACTCCCTTAGGGGTTTTGGGGTTTTGGGGTTTTGGGG